TGTGAAGTTATTTAAAGCAGTTGCCCTTCTCATGGAATGTGTTTTGAGGGGAAAACAAAATGAAGTGGGTCCTTGGAGTATATGCAAACTATCAATGAAACTGAAGGAGCCTTTAATTGGAAGCTTCAGGTTAACGAGGAGCTGCAGTCGAGCTCCAGCGAATGGGTGGGTGTCTGTAATTGTATTACAGCTGTGACCATGCTGAGAATAAATGGCAGTGGAAAAATCTCTGGCAGCATTTTTAGTATTCAGTGTTAGGAGTTTATGAGAAAAGAATAAAAGATCAAGTATTTGTAGCTTTGCCTGGCAGCAGCTAAGAGAAGAACATCATTTATCTGCAAGCAGAGCTTGGTAAAAATTACTCAGCACTTAGTAGCCTGAGGACAGAGCCTGCTAGCCAAGATGAAAAACAGCTGTGCCACTGCACTCTAAGGCAGGAGGGAGGCTGATTTTCCCCTTTAATTACAGTTCCTGAGCCAGAAAGGGAGAAAAAAAAGATAGGAGCACATAGACTTTTCAATCTATATCACATTTCCTGTGGGTGTTGGAGGGAGCCTGGAGAGTCTGACCTGTTTAATTATATGTATTTATGGATTCAGTCCCTGGGTACTGTATCCTGTATAAAATGGGGCGAGGAGGGATCTGCTTTCTTTTAGCAACTTGTACAACTTTTGTCCTTTCCTCTTTTTCCTGTTTCTCTCTCTGACTTTGTAAGGCTCCTCTTTTCTTTCCCTACAGGAGCAATCCTGAACCATCCCAGGAGTATCCTCTTTCCCAGCCTGCTGCTAATTAATTAATGAGTTTGGTTAGGCAAGTGTTTTAGATATAATTAGGCTGTAAAGTTAATAGCACAATGAAACAAGCATGGGCTGAGAAGCTCATAGGTCTGGTAGCGATTACAGAGGCTTTGTGCAGATGTACAGGCTCGTTTCCGTGAGCAACGGGCTCAAAGCAGCCGCCTCAGATCGTGTGCTAAGTTATTACTTGTACTACACGAGTATTTAGGAGCTTACCAGGGCAACAGGGTGGGGAAAGCAAAAGTAAACAAATATCCTCATCCCTGAGAGCTCATGAAGGACCTGATTCAAGGTCTTTTAAATATCCAGGGGGTGTGGAGCTGTCTGCTGACAGTTTCACATGTGCATTTCATTCTGAAATCAGACTGCCATGATTCTAAATGTTTAGTTTAATCCATTCTGGATTAAATGAAACAGGAACAAGATGTATCTACTTCTGGAATAAGCAGGACAAGCTCTGTTTAGGTACAAGAGATTTCAGGCCCCTCTGGCAGGTTCTTTAGTGGAGTTCCTGTAATAAGGGCACTGGTAAGCTCAGATGTCCTCTTGTCATGCCAGGAGGCTGAGAACAGCGACAGCCTCCATTCCTGCTGTGACCATGCTCAAAAAACAAGGAAAACAGTGAAGCTGACTTACTGGTGCAACTCGTGTGGCAGCTGTCAGCCCCTGAAGTTGTTGTGATGTGCTCAGTTTTTCCTCAAGCTTAAGGTTTTGAGGTTTTCTCCTGAGAGAGCTCTGAGGCACTAGGAGAGGTGCTGGAGCTGCACTGATGGTGGGGCGACAGCGCTGCCCTGCACGTGCTTCACAGGCACAAGGTGACATTTGCAACCAGTCGGTCTGGACACCCACTTGAATAAAAATACAGACTTTTTCTGGAGCTGGAAAAAGTATGTTGGGGTCCCTGCCCCCTAAAAAGAGAAACCCACTTCTGTTTATTAAGCAGTTGAGTACTTGAGAAATATTAGCAGCAATAAGCTACTGTGGTGTAGTTGGAACTAACACGACTATGTGGGAATAGGACATCACTGGAAAAGGTGTCAGCTGGGAGCACCACTGCAGCCTTGTTTCCCCCTGCCTTTCACAAAGGCCACATGGCCTGGAAGAGGAAGAGCTGGAGAACATTTCTACAGCACAGAGAGCGACTGCACCAGAGTCTGCTGGACAGACTGGAGCTGTGGATGTCCTGTCCCTGGAAGTGTCCAAGGCCAGGCTGGATGGAGCTTTGAGCAACCAACTCTAGTGAAAGCAATCTCTGCCCATGGCTGGGGGTTTAGAACAAGATGATCTTTAAGGTCCCTTCCAACCCAAACCATTCTGGGATTCTATGACAATGGTCCCCAGATGTCCCTTTAGACCTTAAAGGCTCTATTCCGTAGATGTGGTTTTTTGCCCTGTCCTCTCCTACAGTCACTGGCTGGCTGTCTCTCCACTATGCCAATCTTTTCTCGTCCAATCAGCTTAAATAACCAGTTACAAACCTAATGAGGTACTTGCTACAAGCTCTGTAATCCTGCTGGTTCCCTCTGTCCCTGAAAGACAAGGGTAGGGGGGTTCATCAGCTCCTGGGTGGTTCTCTGGAGGAGCCCACTGTTGGTTGTTTTTAGGAAAGGCAATAGAAGTTTGTGGACAAAGCCCAGCTGGGGTGTTTGTGCATCACCTGGTGTAACAGGACACACACCTCGGTGCCTTCAGTCTATGTGGAACAAAAGACTTGCATGGGAAAAGCAGGTAAAGGCAAGGAATGCTTCTCCACAGAGGCTGTCCAGCAAAGGAAATACACCATAAATGATGCAGAGCAGCCAAAGTTTGCCTTTTCTTCCTGACAGCCACATGAATCACACCACTGCCTGAGGCTAGAGCCAAGTGCTGGGAGCAGAAATCAGATGTTGCTTATTAAGAATTTTTTATCTTTAAGTTGTTCAGATCTTCTGACCTTCTGCCTTTGCCCTGCCACAGACACACACAGAGAGGATATACAAATCCTCACTTAGACCTTGAGTAAACTGTGGTGAGGAATGTCCAGAATTTCCCTTATTTTTCACTTCGGGGCCAGGGTCTTTTGGCATGACTGTCCCATTTGGGCCAAAGACTGGATCTTCCCTGCCTTTAAAGAGGGAGGTGGTGTACCTGAATTTTATGTAGTTTCTGTTCTTGTGTACATTTTATTACCCCTTAACATGTGACATAGTGTACATCATACTACATATGACCCATTTTACTTTCCTCCACCCTCCTTCTCCCATCATCTTCCTGCTTTATTAAAAAAGACCCAGATCATCCATCTGCCAGCATATGCCTGTGCCAGAGAAGTGGACTCCTCCTAGCACTGTGTCCCCATGTTAACCTTGACATGCCAGCTTATAGCCCTCCCCATGCACAGGCATAGGAGAAATCCATTCTCCTTGCTGATCTGAACAGATGGTGAGGCTCAACTGAGTGGAGTTTGGGTGTGGATCTGAGGGAATCCCTTTTCCTGTGCAGGTCCTGTGGCTTTGTTGTTGCTGAAGCAACTCCAGCATAGACGAGCCACTGGGAGCAGCCCCATGTCTCTGGGATCATCCAAGCTGTCCATGGACAGGAAGGCTTCACTAGAAATGGGGGGTGGGGGAAGTGTACTGCTAAAGAATACAGTCTAGAAAGTTCATGCTGGATTTGACAGCACAAAACTTAGTGCAGGTTAAACCCATGGAGTTGAGTTACTAAAGAAAGCCGAGGTGTTCCCACAGCCCAGACCACCTGTGTTAAACACACCGCCCTGGCCATTAAATCTGCGTCTAGACGAGGCCACGCGTATGGGCTGTGCTGCTGGTTCAGAGTGACTGAGCAAACCACATCCTCACGTCCTGGCGCTGCAGGAAACTGGAATAACACCGGCGATACGAAAATAGCGTGTGAAAAGCCCAGACCTCCCACCACTCTGGAGTCATTCCTTTCAACCTTCACTCTGCTGTCCAAAACACTCACGTGAAATCTCTCCCCGGAGCCACTTTACGCTGCAGCGCGGAGAGCAATTAGTTTTAATGGCATTAAATGGAGCTCCTCGCACAGGAGGTGCACTGCCGACTGTGTCAGACAGACCACCTGCCTCGCTCCCACCCTGCCGGCCCCGGTCCTTGGGCTGGCAGGGAGGGTGGCACTGGGTGCCCTGTGGCAGCCACTTGGAGCTTGGTAGGAAATGAGCCCAGGGCACGGGCCCGGCGGACGGGAGGGACTGGGGCTGCGGGCAGAGCCGGCAGGGCACGGCGGCGACAAGGACATTTAAAACTGTCCTTTGAAAAGTACATTGCGGTCCTGCAGCGTGTCCTGAAAGTTCTAGAAAATACGTCTGGTAAGGAACGTCTGAGGGAGCTGGGGGTGTTCAGTCTTGAGGAGGCTCAAGGGGGACCTCAGTGCTCTCTACAGTTCCCTGGCAGGAGGGTGGAGGGAGGTGTGGGCCGGGTTCTTCTACCGGGCCTGCAGTGAGAGAACAAGATGAAATGGCCTTAAGATGAGATTCATATTAGATACTAGAAAAAGTTTTTTCACTGTTCGGTGCCCAGACATTGGAATGGGCAGCCCAAGGGGTGGTGGAGTCACCATCCCTGGAGCTGTTTAAGAGGTGTCTGGATCTAGTGATGGGCGATGTGGTTTAGGGGCTACAGTGGCAGTGCCAGGTGAACGGCTGGGATGGACGATCCTAAAGGTCTGTTCCAACCCTGACGGCTCCACGATTCTGTGACTCCACGATTCCAAAGGCGCCCCGGGGCAGCTTCGCCCTCACCCAAAATGGCCGCCGCCGCTTCGCGGGCCGCGCCCCCGCGCGGGGTGACGGCGCTTCGCCCTCCGGCCGTGAGGGGGCGCGCGCGGGGCGGCGCTGCCGGGCCGGAGCGGACGGGCGGGCGGAGCGGCGGCCGCGGGCCCAGCGGCACCGGCACCGCGGGCCGGCCCCGGCAGGTGCGGGGAGCGGGGCATGGCGGGGGCTGCTGTGGGTCTGGCCGGCCGGGGGGCGGTGGGCGGGGTGGGCAGGGCCGCGCCGGGCCCGGCCGGAGCGCGCTGTGTGAGCCGCGGGCGGGGCGGGCGACGGGGCTGAAGGTCGCGGTGCTGGGCAGGGAGCACATCCCGCGGTGGCGGCTCTGCCGTGCTGTTCCCGCAGCCGGCGGTACCCCGTGTTCCCGGGCGGCCCAGGTGTCAAACGCGTGCTCTTCCCGGTTCCACGGTAGAGGCGTCCTTCGGGAGGCGCAGTAAAGCCGGGCTTCCTCCCCGCGGGCTGCTGGGCGCCCACCTGCCGGTGTTCGTGCTCTGCGTGTGCGGGGTCCGGGTGGACACTGGCAGGTGTCACTTTGGGAAACCCCTGCCTTTGGGAGCAAAGCCCCCAGCACCTCCGAGAGCACTTCCAGGAGGCTCTGCTAGCCTGGGAGGTGGCGGAAAAGGCGTGTGGAAAACCAGGAACTGCCTCCCTCTGAGCTGTGGAGCGCCAGGGCTCGTGTGTGTTTCGGGTGAATACCGTGCACAGGTGTCAGCAACCCATGAATAAGGTAAATTGCAATTCCACTTCTTTATGGCAGGAAACCCACATTGTCCTTAACTCCCAGTCCCTCTGGCTTTCCCTGCCGTTCCAGGGTGTGCTGTGTGCTACATCTAATGCTCCTGTTTACAATTTATAGAAGACAAGATGTGAAAGGGTTATAATGTGGGCAGTGCTCTTAACTCATACAGCAAATGTGGGTCCTTGCACAGTGTGGTCGTGTGAGTGATGTTTTACTTCAGCCTTCAAGAGTCCAGTTTTAGCCACACCTGGGTATAGATCTTTGCAGATGCTTTTGCCTGCTGGAGTTTCAGTAGCTAAAAAGAAAAGCTGGAGAACATGGGTTGTGGTTCACTGGGCTGCTGTTGTCACTTGGCTGTGTGAAGGTGCTCAGTGTTTGATCCTGAGAATTGCTGGGCTCCTCGTGAGAGAAGGTTGTCTGGAGAGGGGGATGTGTGTTTGGAGGTGTCTGTCACAGAGCAGCACTCAGGGAGATCAGTTATGAAATAACTCTGATGTTATGATATTCAGTGTAAAGAAGGAATATGGAACTGTTTGAGCAAGTCCAGAGAAGGGCCATGGAATTGATAAGGGGACTGGAGCACCTCCCTTATGGAGGCAGGCTGAGAAAGCTGGGGCTGTTCAGCCTGGAGAAGAGAAGGTTGTGTGGAGACCTCACAGCACCTTCCAGTGTCTGAGGCAGCTACAGGGAAGCCAGAGAGGGACTCTTTGTTAGGAACTGTAGTGACAGGACAAGGGGGAATGGGTACAGATTGAAAGAGGGGAAATCTAGGTTGGATATACGAAAGAAATTCTTCCCTATGAGGGTGGTGAGGCCCTGGCACAGGTTGCCCAGAGAAGCTGTGGCTGCCCCATCCCTGGAAGTGTCCAAGGCCAGGTTGGATGGGGCTTGGAGCAACCTGGGCTAGTGGAAGGTGTCCCTGCCTATGGCAGGGGTGGTTGGAACGAGATGATCTTCAAAGTCCCTTCCAATCCAAACCATTCTGTGATTCTGTTCCTGAACAGAACCCACATTCTGTGGGCGTCTCTGAAGTCAAATATGTTCATATGTATTTGGAGGAACGTGAGGCACCAGGTCAGACCAGATACTTAAGGACTTTCAGGTGTCTTGGGTGAAATCTGAGAAATCATTGAAGTAGAACAAACAAATGAGGCACAGCTGGGAAGAGCAGAGAATGCAGAGAAATGCCCTGGACTGTACCCAGGAGCAGCAGCTGGTGGTGATGCACACAGGTGAAGAGGGTTAACCAGGGGGAGCCAGGGCAGGGCTTCCAGGTTCTGACTGGAGAGGAAACCCTTCTGTCCAGGGGCAGCAGGAATATTTTTGTGCCAAGGAGTTCACAAAAATTCTGTTAAAGGAATTAGTGCTGAAAAGGTGCAGATCCACCCCTGACAAAATGCTTGGGAGTGGTCAGTTTTCCCTCCACTTTTCCTGAAAGCTCAGGTGCTGCTCTCTCCTGATTCCTGATGAAGGTTTGCTGACTCCTGTGTGCAGACCGCTCCAGGGTCTCGCCTGTGGCCCGTGATCACAAGCCTGATGATGGAGCATGTGCTTGGTCAGTGTTTTGCAAAAGAGCCTCTGCAATCAGCGTGTTTGTTTTACCGGTTTTGTGTGCAAGGAAACAGCACAAAAATCTGTGTCAGCCTCTTCCTGACAGGCTGTGGGAGGAAGGAAGGGTTGGCAGGCAGATGGAATATTTGTCAGATGAAGAGAAGGTAATCAGGGGGAAAAGTGTGCTGCTGGAGGAGGTTACCTGGCTATAGGTAACCTCCTGAAATCCTTCCTCCTTCTCTGGAATGCCCCCTGGCTTGGAGAATTGAAGAATGGTGTTTTTAAGAAAGCCAGGGGCTCCTTGTGCCCTGAGGTGGTGGCAGTCACAGTTCCTAACTGCTGACTGTGCTTAATCTGAATTAAGCACCTGCAGTAGGTGTCTGTGACTGGGAGTGTTGTGGATCCTGCTTTTGGTGGGTTCTCAGCTTGGCAGCCAGGTCAGGGATCAGTTGTGGATGCTGCACTGTGTGTCAGAGCTGGTGGTGATGCTGGCACAGGTGCCAGCACAGTCCAAGCCCCAGAGCTGAGAGCTGCTCACCTGCTGATCTGAACCCTTCTGTGGACATTTGGTTTCCTTTTCAAAATAAACATTGGTGATTTTATTCTTGCCCTTAAGGTGAAGGAGGAGGAGGAGGTCCTTCATGGCTGTTTCATGTTTTGCAGAAAATGCTCTGAAGGTGAACTGGACAGCGCCCGCCGGAACTGAATCTGTCTGAAAAAGGTCCTCCTTCCCCAAAAGGCCTGTTGGTGGTCAGGAGGGAACCTGTGCAAGGGATGGGCTCGGAGAACAGCGCTCTGAAGAGCTACACTCTGGAGGAGCCGCCGTTCACGCTGCCCACGGGACACACCGTCTGCCCGGCCGTGCTGCAGGATGGCAAACGCGCCTCCGTGTTCGTGTACAAGCGGGAGAACGAAGATAAGGTTCATAAAGCTGCCAAGGTACTGGAGCCTGCCTGGGACAGACTTGTCACAGCTGTCCCTCCCTTTTATTGGGAGGGTGGGAATTGGTGTGCAGGGGTCAGACCTTGGGGCGGGAGGGCAGGAGAAGAGGTGGGAGCTGACTGTGGCAGTGCAGGGGGGCAGGAGGGGTTGGCAGCTGCAGAGCTCATCGTGTGCTGTGCGATGTCAGCAGTGTGGGAAGGAATGGCCACACAGCAGTACCTGCCTGCCTTGGCAGAGGGCTGGTCTCTTCCTGCAGATGTAAGTCAGAGGGTCTTTCTTGGGTGGATCCACCCAAAATACCGTTTTTATTATGACTGAGACTTTCTTTTATTCTGTGTAAGACTTTTTCCTTCCAGTAACTGAAGGGAACTGACAAGAAAGATGAAGAGAAACTGTTTACAAGGGCCTGTAGTGACAGGACAAGGCTTTAAACTGACAGAATGGCTTTAAACTGACAGAGGGCAGGGTTAGATTAGATACCGGGAAGAAATTCCTTCCTAAGAGGGTGGTGAGGCCCTGGCACAGGTTGCCCAGAGAAGCTGTGGCTGCCCCATCCCTGGAAGTGTTCAAGGCAGGGTTGGACAGAGCTTGGAGCAACCTGGTCTAGTGGAAAGTGTCCCTGCCCATGGCAAGGGAGTGGAATGAGATGATCTTTATTAAGGACCCTTCCAACCCAAGCCTTTCTATGACTCTGTTTCAATGTATTATAACAAGTTGTGCAGTGAGTGAGTGTGCTGGGTGCTTGGGGAGGAGCAGGGATGGGCTGTCTAAATTCACTGAGAAAACACGGCTAAGGGTACAGGACTGAGCTCTGCAGCCAGAGGAGCTGCCCCGGGTGAGATCTAACAGATGCCTTTGTTTCTGGAAGCACCTGAAGACCTTGCGCCATCCTTGCCTTCTGCGCTTCCTCTCTTGTACCGTGGAAGCAAATGGGATCCACCTGGTTACAGAGCGGGTGAAGCCTTTGGAGCTGGTCCTGGAGACACTTTCTTCTGCCGAAATTTGCGCAGGGATCTACGATGTGCTGCTGGCACTCATCTTCCTCCATGACAGGGTAGGTACCCCTGGCAGCAGCCAGCAGGCTTTGGAGGGAGGCAGATGAACTGGGACAGGAGAGCACCTGGGCTTGTCTGGGCGAGTCATTTCTGATTCCTCCCAAAAAGCAGGCACGTGCCCCACAGTTCTTTTAGGCTGAAACTGCTAAAATCATTGGCTGCTTTGTGGGAGGAAGGGTAGTTGAAAGTGCTGTGGGGTTTGGAAGTAAGGAAGCAAGCGGTTCTCAGTTCATGAATCTGCTTGCAGTGCTGCTTGCTTTAGGGAGATGAGGTTGCTCAGCCTTGGCATTTGTTTACAGCTGTCACCCCGTGTCAGAGATTGGTGTCACTGCTCTCCTCATTGAGCACTGTGTGTTTGTCCAGGACTGCAGTTAAATCCCAGCTCAGACTGTAGCTCTGGGGCTTTGTGTTCACAGTTGGAGAACTTCCCTGGATTTACAGTTTTGTTGCAGGGGCTGTGACAATCAGGTCTTTGTCTGCTCTGAAACCCTGGTCCTCCTGCCTGGCACCTGCTAGTCACCTACCAAATCCCAGAGGACTTTTGGAACTGTGCTTTTTGGCAGCTTTCCCTCAGCCCTTCACAGCACCTACTTAGCACTGGTTAAGATTTTACATCTCCATCTATCCTGAGTCTGTTATTCTTTTTTTTTCTGTGTTCTAGGGAAACCTAACACATAACAATGTCTGTTTATCATCCGTGTTTGTGAGTGAGGATGGGCACTGGAAGCTGGGAGGAATGGAAACAGTTTGTAACTTCAGTGAAGCCACCCCAGAGGTAAGAGCCAAGCCAAGTGCACCCTTGGATGCCCAGGAGAGGATTCCTGGCCTCTGGAAACTGGCCATCTATGAACACGATGGCCCAAGTCCTTCCACTTAGCTGGATTTACTATTAAGTGTGTTGGTTCCCTTCCAGCTCTGTCCTGAATCTTTCCTCTAAGGACACCATAACTATAAACTACAATATCTACACAAATTAATTCCCCATTAACCAAAAATAGATACTTTTCTAAGGGACACTGCTGGCTGAAGAGTGAGAAATCTCTGCTCCTCTGGACTTATTGAAAAACAAATTAAAAAAAAAAAAAAAAGCTTTACTGTGAAGCTGGAAGATCCAGTTTTAAATTAATCAATAAGGAAAATAATTTAAATGCCTCCTTAGCTTTTGCTGCTGGCATCTTATCTGCATATTAGCAGAACAATTCCTGGTTTATTCCTGCTGCCTGCTGTGCAGATCCCTGCTGCAGCCTGGCACTGTGTCACAGATGCACATTGCCTTTTCTCCCAGAGGATCTACAAACCCTTCACAACGAGTTGGCTGTGAGGCCCTGAAGCTGCTTCCTGTCAGCTTGGTGCTTCCCACCTGCTCCACTGGGATCTCCCCTCGGGCAGAGCCAAACACAGCCTGCCCTGGGTGCCAGTGGAAGGGGCAGGGGCAGAGCTCCTTCCACCCCTGAGCCCTGGCCCGTGGGGACACCCTGCTCTGCTGCTTGGCACAGGTGAGTGAGGGAGGCAGCTCATGTCCCTCTTCTTCTCCTTCCAGTTCCTCTGTCAGGTCAGGTCCGTACGAGACCAGTCGTGCATCCCGTGCGAGGAGATGGTGAGTAACAGAGTAACAGCACCTGCTCCAGGAAGGTCCTGATGGCAACAAATAAAAAAGTGTGATGTTCAGGATATATATTTGCATTCATATGTTTTATTTCCTTATGCCTAAATGGCATGGAAGTGACTCTTGGATAATATCTGACATTTCCTTTTCCCCTCTTCTGTCCCATCCCTGGTTTGGGAATGGTGTTAGGTAGAGGGAATAATATTTTTCCAACACTTTGTGTTGCAGCTTTAATGCTTCGAAGTCACCAAAGCCATGCAAAAATGACAGAGTAGTTGCTGAGATTGCCCAGATCACTGCAGTCCCATGGCTGTGGAGCTCTTCTAACAGCCTTTTTTCCACCCATTAGTCACTTCCTACCCATTGAGAATCCTTGGAGTTGCTTATGCTGAAGGAACACTCTTTCACTCTCTAATTATCACCTGTTTCCATAGAAATGCTGAAAGCTGTTGCCTGCCAGCATCCATTGGGGAGTTGTTCCATTGTGATGTAGTTGCTCCTTTGGGTTATGAATTCCCCAGTGCAGTTTTTTTTAGCATAATATTCTACTTACAGGGTATACTTTGGTGCTATAAAAAGCACTGGAGACTGTATATGGCAGGGGGTGGGAATAGACACTCTTGAAAATTACCAAGTACTTCATTAAGTTCCTGCTTTGCTGATTTTTTTGGTTTTATTTTCAGTCTGCAGATTTCAAAATCCTGCCCAGCAGCTACGGGCACGCGAGGGATGCCTATGCCTTTGGAACAACAGTTGAAAATCTCCTGACTGTCCTCAGTGACCAGGGTGAGGAATGACACCTGTTCATTTTGCTGTGGACAGGCCTCTGTGGCTTATTCCTTGTGTGTGTCGAGCCATTCACCTTCTGTGGCAGCTGGCAGCAGTGCCATGGCTTCAGTGGCCAGTGCTGTTTTGTGTTTGCTGGGCTAAATGCAGGCCTTGGCTTCTCCTGTGTTCCCCTTTTTCCTGCATTTGGACGTGGTCAGGTGTGGCTGGAGGTCACCAGCCCATGTGCCACAAGCATTCCCAAACCTGCTCCGGTTCTGCCCTACCAGCTGCCTCTCCCAGGGATGTGGATGTGGCACGTGGGTCTCGAGTGCCACAGCTGAGCAGGGGCTGCCACCTTCCAGCAGAGAGGGAGCAGGAAGCTTCTTGGGAGGACAGTAGCACTCCTTGAAGCCCCAACGGCCAGACAGCTTAGGAAGAGAAATGGAAGTGCTATTTTTCCCTTCCCTTTGCAATTTTGCTATAAATTAGTGTGAAAAATAAGTTTTGGGGAGGGTGGGGGACTCCTAAATGTATCTAGTTCAGCACTGAGAGAGAAATCTAACTGTGGGTGCTCTGGATTTCAGTTTCAGCAGATATTCTCTCCAGCTTCCAGCAAAGCTTGCGCTGCACACTGCTAAACCCAGACCCAAAGTGTCGTCCACCACTGTCCAGCTTATTGTCTCACGAGTTCTTCAGGTAAGGACAGGAGTATGAGGCCTTTCTTGGTCTTGACACTGCCTGTTTCTGTCTTGCAGAGTGTTATTTTGGAGAAGGTGTGGGATGGAAGTGCAGATTTAATCCCTGTCTCTTACAGGGATCTTTGACAAAGAGTCTCCTTAAATTAAGAAATTGTTACCAGCCTTCCCAGTGAGGTGCTGAGCAGCAGCTTTCAGGTCTCACCTCCACGCTGGCATTGTTGATCCACCAGATCAAGACTTGCATCCCTCTGTGTAGTTCCCTCTGCTGAATGAATGGTGGGGATTTGCAGTCACTTCATTGTGGATGGTTTAAGCATCACTTGCCAACCTATGTCTTTGTGTTTAGGAATGATTTTCTGGAAGTTGTGAATTTTCTGAAGACCTTAACACTAAAGTCTGAGGAGGAAAAAACTGAGTTTTTCAAGTAGGTGAACGAAGTGTAATCTGGAAGCTTCTTATTTCAGACATACTTCTGCCAAATGGACTGGGGGGGACCTGGGAGGGCTTGTGCCCAGAGGTACCTCCTCAGCTGGCAGATTTTGGTTGCTTTGGCAGAACATTGTTTGCTCTGTACCATTTTGGGTACTCCAGGCAAAGCAACAATTGCATCAAAGAGGAAGCTCTTCGCCTCCTCCTTTCCCAGTTCCTTGTGAGTGGTTTGGTGTTTGGGAGGAGTACCTGCTGGGCAATGTGTCTGCCAGTGAGGGACTTTGCAATAAGACTTGCTGGATGAATTAATCCTGTGGTGCCAGCCCTGCCTGGCTGAAGCTGTAGTGGGTGTCTTGGCTGCAGTCGTGGAGCATCTTGCAGGAAATCCAGCTGTTCCCCAAGAAGTTTTCTATAAGGGAACCTTCTGTGTTATCATGGCATTACCTGGGCCTGAAAGGGGGAGAAGCTGGGTTTTTCCTTCTTTTTCCATGTAAAAGAGCCCTGGCGTTGTTACAGAGCTATCTTCCTGCCTGTTTTAT